TACATTGAGCTGGTTTGGAGCAACCCCTGCTGGCAGGGAGCCCAGGGGTCAGCCTGCCAACCCAAGGCTGCTCTGACCTGGCTCAACATGCTGCAGAACAGCTGGCTGGGGCATGAGGGTGCTGCATTGTGGGGCTAGCCAGCATGCAGTGCCCTGACTGAAGCACCTTTGTGCCTCAGCCAGCTCCATCAGTGTCTACACATGTGTTGCAGCACACTAAATAATGTTGCCATAAGATACTACTTGTGTGGGCAGCACTATCCTATGGCAGCATTTATTAGTTTACTGCACCCTAATAGGGACACATGTGTAGACACTGATGCTTTACTGCGGAGCTAGTTAGTCGCTTCATAGTAAATGTCTCATGTAACATGCTCACTGTTAGCCACGATTCCATAAAAACAAAATTTCTACATTCTGCCTTTCAAAAACAATGTGTGTTTTGAGACTGTGTGGTATGCAAGAAAATGCAGTATCTGTGGCAGAGACTGATATCGCAAAGTTCATTCATTGCTCTCCAAGCAAATTGAAGAGGTGAACAATTACTGTTTATGTTCTCATTTCTAAAATCAGCAACAGAATTTGCTGTTCAGATACATTGGATGAAAATTTTCCTTGCTTGAAAAAGTTTGCATGATAATAGACTCTTGTTTTATCTGTTCTTTTTATAAACCACTTAGCCACCTTTTAGTGCAAATTTCTTTAAAATAAAACATGTTTGCTGGTGTATGTTTTAACTAGCTAGATTTCCTAAAAGTATTTGAAAAAAGTCTAGCTAGGAATATTTAGGTTGAAACATGAAACCCTACCCTTCTTTTAACATCTTTTGTTGCGTAGCTTCAGTGTTTTGTACATTACTAAAATTGTAAGGTGGACCTCTGCTTTTTCAAATTAATACATCTACCAGCTGAATCAATTTTAATTTTCATCAACTTCTTTATTTTTCTAGGTGGCAGCCTCAAGAAACAAATGAAAGTTTTAAAAATTATCAAGATGCATTGCTGCAGAGTGATCTCACATTGTGCCCAGTGGGAGTAAATACAGAATGCTATAGAATTTATGAGGCATGTTCATACGGATCTGTTCCTGTGGTAGAAGATGTAATAACACCAGGTGATTGTGGAAATTTATCTACATACCAGAGTGCTCCGTTGCAATTACTGAAGATGATGGGGGCTCCATTTATCTTTGTTAAAAACTGGAAAGAGCTTCCTGTAGTTTTAGAAAAAGAAAAAAATATGAACTTACAAGAAAAGATCCAAAGAAGAAAAAAGCTTATAGAATGGTACAGGCACTTCAAAGCACAAATGAAACAAAAATTCATTAATATTTTAGAAAACTCATTTTTACCCAATGAAAGAGGATAAATTTTACCCCCCCCCCAAAAAAAGATCAAAAATTGATTGAAAACTTTATTTCCACTGATCTGTAAATGATGCTTTATATAAAAAGAAAAAATCAACACAAGTGCAGCTCCTTTGAAATCAGAGCTGTGCAAACTTATCCCAGGGCTGAATTTAGCCTTCTGTTCTTAGCTACTTTCAGAAAGTCTTAGAGGTTGGTAGTCTGCATGGACATCATTAACTTTATTATTATTATTATCAGAAGCACTTATTTGCTAAATATAAGAAAACTGGGAATTCCAATAATAATAATAAAGTGCTTCTGATTCTCAGTGGGATTGTAGGATTTCAAGAAATACTTCACTCAGTTTTGTAGGATTTCCCCCCAAAAAGTGCTGGCCACATTGTCATGATATTTCTGCTTTCAGTATTCTCTTTCCTGAAGTTCTCCTGCCGCCACTCCCCCATTTTAAAAATATATAATGGAAGAGCAAAAGCCTGGGTCAAACAAGCCCTAAATTATAGAACTTGTAGTAGTAAAGAAATTCTTTATTGTAAGTACAGTAAGTATTTGTACATAGAACTACCCCCTCCCCTTTGTCAGGAACAAATTGAAAGCATTTAGTGCTTTAGGGTCTTCCCATTTTTCTAATGTCTCAGAGTTACATGTTGGGTGGTGGTAGATGCTTGATGTGAAAAAAAACTTTACTTTTGTGTGGTTTTATAACAAAAGGAGTGTATCCCCACCCCCAGCCCAAATACCTATTCATAGATGGTATAGAAGTTTCCCTTGCCTTATGCAGGTTCTGTATGTATGAATATGCTCTTATGCAATGACGCTTTTTATACCAAAAATCTGTTGTGTGAGGTACATTCACTCTTATGCAATCAGTGTGGTGGAAGCCTGCGATCAGCTGCTTTGTGCAGTGCACTGTGGGAGTGATGTGCACCAACACAGTCTCCTGTGTGAATCTGTGCTCCTCGCTTGTTGTCTGCAATACACGTTTTGTAGTTGCCATCCCCATTGTGGTTTCCAAGTGTCCCACTAGCTTATCTTCTACCCCTCTCCCTGGTCCATCAATGAAGTGCAAGAGAA